GGCTGGGAAGGTGGCTCAGTGGTAGAGCGCTTGCCTTGCATGCCTGAGGCCCTGAGTTCGATTCCTCAGCACCACATAAGCAAAAAAGAAAAAAGCTGGAAGTGGCGCTGTGGCTCAAGTGGTAGAGCGCTAGCCTTGAGCTGAAGAGCTGAGGGACAGCGCCCAGGCCCAGAGTTCAGGCCCACGACCAGACCCAGAAAAAAAAAAAAAGTTACCATAACTAAACATGGCACAAAATAACACACCCTTTGCTGATACAAATATAAAACCAAAATCATTATCATCTTAAATTCTGCAAATTTAGATATTAGAAACTTATGGATATCAGGACACTTAACTGAATACTCCACAACTAAACACATCAAAATATGTAGAAACATTTGTACTTCCCTTCCAGTCATTTTATATTACTGTTTCGGGGTTAAAACAGAAAGAGGGAATGTGTAAGATATTGACACAACTATATGTACATTAAAAAAATAATAGAAGAGCAGTAGGATAACCCTACTTCTAGGTTAAGTTAAATAAGGCCAGTATGTCTGAAGTGCAATACACAACAATTTGCCAAGCTTAGCTGATTTAGGTCTGAGTTTCTCAAATCTACAGTCTACAAGAATTACATTTAGCTCATAACCCATGTTATTTATACACAAACTGATTAGAGGAGGATACACTTAGGGAAGAATCCAAACACCTCTGAACAAGTACTATTTGTCAAAACAAATTCCAGGAAATGGAAACATGTTTTGTTGTTGTTTGTGTTTCATTTTGTATTGGGGTAGGGGAGGGGAGGAGTGGATCCCACAGAGGAAAACACAGGAATGGAGGAAGGGTGAACAAATGCAGTCATTATATTCAATATACATTATGCAACTTGTGGGGAGAACGGGAGGTAAAAAATTCAGGAAAGCAAAAAAAGGGGTATTATTGCCTAACAAGCACTGTACTCATTACCTGACTTGAAACTGTAACTCCTTTGTAAAACTCCTTGATAAGATCCATTAAAAGAAATGGAAAAACAATTACATATAGCTTCCAAGATAGAAAATTTCTTATTTCAGGGCACAAAGCAAATATATAATCTGTCAGGCATCAATACCATGAAATACTACTTAATAATACAATTTCCCAATTAGGTAAACAGCTAATCCTTTACAGTACTTAAATTTTTTATGACTTTTCTATCCATTACATAGAAGATACTTAATACCTTCTAGGGAAATTAATGATTAAGAGTCTGTACTTTCCTACCTCTGACTACTTCAAAACTATTCCTATTTATCTTTTATCATTTTTTTAAAAACAGAGGGAAAACAGGGAAAAACATATAACAGCAGGACCCATCAGCTACACCAGACATTGATCAAAACGAACTAAGCAACTCAATGGCAGCATGGGAGGGAGGGAATGAGAAGGAAAGAGGGAATAGTTGACACTAAGCAAAAAGAAAATGTAGATATCACCTGATGTGAAAAAATAGCTATATCGTCAAAGCTCACAGAATCCACAAACTTTTTTTTGTTGGTAGTGGGGGCCTAAACTCTGGGCCTGGGCGCTGTCCCTCAGCTCTTCAGCTCAAGGCTAGCGCTCTACCACTTGAATGAACCACAATGCCACTTCCAGCTTTTTCTGCTTATGTGGTGCTGAGGAATAGAACCCAGGGCTTCATGCATGCAAATCAAGCACTCTACCACTGAGTCCACTAAGCCACCTTCCCAACCCCAGAATCCATAAACTTTATAGACCACGATAAAGACAATTCGCCTCATGAAGGTTAGAATGTGTTTATGACTTTAACTAAGTATCACTATCTAACAAGACTATGAAATTTGTGAAATGTAATCACTTAATCACAATAGAAAAAAACTTTTAAATGATAAAAAATAAAAGGAGTTGTACAAAGAGGTTAAAATTCCTTAAGTCAGGTTACAAGTACAATGCTGCTTGATCAGTGTCACCCCTTCCTTCATTCTCCCCCATTTTCCCTCCCTTGTCCCTATCCCTAATTATATAGTTTGGTTTTTACATAATGTACATTGAATATAATGGCTCCATTTGCTCACCTTTCTTCCCTCCATTCATGTGTCTCCCAAGAACCCTCCCCCTAAAAAAAGATGTTTCTGCTTCCTGGTATTCGTCTTGATAAACAGTACATTATTTGTTCAGATGAATTACACCTTTGGACTCCTCCCCTAATTATACCTTCCTTTAGTCTGTATATAAATGCATATGCTATTATGCATGTTTGTATTTTAGACCCGTGCTGTTTGTCTCTCTGAGCTTGATTCTATGTCTATCCATTTCCCTGCAATGACATGTTTATTCTGATAGTAAAATTCCACCATGTATATGTATCACATGTTCTTGATCCACTTATCCATTGTAAAACATGTTTCCGTAACTTGACTACTATAAATAGCATGGCAATAAATATGGATGTGCAAGTGTCCTTACTGTATCCTGACTTACAATAATACTCTGGGTAGATGCCAAAGAGTGGTATCATTGTATCACAATGTTTAGTTTTTTTGAGGAATCTCCAAAGTGTCTCCCACGGTGATTGTAGTAGTTTACCTTTCCACTAACATTATAGTAGGGTTCCTTTTTCCTCATCACCACCAGCATTTTCATATTCTCAATGCTGGCCAATCTTACTTTTGATTTGCATTTCTTCTGTGGCCAGGAATATAGAACATTTTCCTCATGTGTTTATTGGCCATTCCTACTTCTGAGAAGACTCTACCTATTTATCTTTTTTATCAAAGGGACCTTCATTGTTCACTTCTACCTTGTTTTAACTGTTGTCAACTGGTATCTTCACTTTATTTCTTCACCATTCTTCTTTTTCCCCACTACTTTCAAAGTGTTTCCCACTGTTAGAAAAAAATGACCTCCTACTGTCATCTAAGCAGAGTGGTACTTTTTTTATATTTTAGTCAAGGCTATAAATACAACTTTAAAATTTAAAATTTTTCTTAGTTGTCCTCTATGTAGGAAAGGAGTTGGTTTTTAAGGCAGAATTGTTTGGTTAACAGTGCTGGCACTGTGGCTTGAACTCAGGCTATCACTTTCTCACTTAGCTTTTTCCCTGTAGTTGGCACTCTACCATTTGTGTCACAACTCCAGTTCTGGGAAATTTGTTTTCAGGGGAAGAACTAGGCTTCTTTTGACAAGGTAATTATTAGGACAGTAATTGAAGACTACTGACTAGGTGACCAGTCAGACCAGCCAGATGGTATAATTTAGTGTTAGCATGTGCAAGGCCCTGGGATCAATCCCCTGAACCAAAAGAAAAACAAAACCCATTAATATGCCAACTCTGTGGAACAGAAGATAGTTCACATATTCCTGTATAGCTACATCTGCCTGAGTTGACTATTCATATTGCTATATACACATTTTAAACATTAATATAATTCCAAGGGTTTTGTTTTAAACTTCTTTCATATAAGTATTTCATACCTCAAAAATTTTGGTCTACATACCACTAAATCTATTTGACCATTTCTGTTATTTTTATTCTAATTTTTTTTTCAATTATGGGTTTTAATCCAGAGATTCAAGCAAGCTAGGCTCACTTTACCACTGTGCCACACTCGCAGCCCAGAATTTCATGGTTTTTAAACCAAGGTACAAATTAGACTAGTTTTACCATAGGTAACTTTTTTTTTGTCAGTCATGAGGGGTTTGAACTCCGGGCCTGGGCCCTGTCCTTACCACTTTGAGCCACAGCACCACCACTGGTTTCCTGGTGGTTAATTGGAGATTAGAATCTCATGGGCTTTCTTGTCCAGGCTGGCTTTGAACTGTGATCCTGAGATCTCAGCCTCCTGAGTAGCTAGAATTACTGGCATAAGCCACCAGTGCTGGCTGAATTTTGTTTTTTTTGTTTTTGTAAAGGTGTTATACAGAGGGGTTACAGCTACGTAAGTCAGGTACTGAGTACATTTCTTTTTGAACAGTGTCACCTCTTCCCTCCTTTTCTCCCAGTTTTTTCTCTCTTCAACCCACACAAGTTACATAGTTCATATTCCACATAGTGTCTAGTGAGTATCACTGCTGAATTAGTACTACCCTTTATCCCACCATTTCTGTGCTTCCCCCTCTCTTCCCTTCCCCAAATCAAATATACTTACATACAAGACAAAAAGGCACAGCAGCAAAAACCCCAGCTAAAATGCTTAATAAGGTTTAAAAAGGCAGTATTAAGCTGGGTGCTGGTTGCTCACACCTGTAATCCCAGCTACTCAGAAGGCTGAGATGTAAGAATCATAGTTTGAAGCCAACTCAGCCAGAGAAATCAGAGATTCTCATTTCCAAATAACCACCAAGAAGCCAGAAGCGGAGACTCAAGTGGTAGAGTATCAGCACTGTGCAAAAAAAGTTAAGGGACAGAGCCCAGGACCCAGAGTTTTCAAGGCCTAAAACTGGCACCAAAAAGGGCAGTATTATGTCCTCTGCCACAAAATTATCTTTTCTTCTACCTTTCACTTATCCAACTCCTACCAACTTTTCAAGTCCAACTTTATTTTTCCCTTTTCTGAACCAACTTACCAGATCATATATACACCGGCTTATTATTATTCTACATTCAAGTTACCTTTCCACAAAAATTATAAATTCTCTAAAGAACTACAGTCACTCATCAAGTACTTATTAAACAACTATTGTGTGTCAAATAGCAAACTTAGTAGTCTTTTATGTAATATTGCTAAACCAGATTTACGTACATGTTGAATTGTTCAGATGCTGATCTCGAAGGGTATGAAGTTCTCCCAGCAATTTGTCCATTTTTTGCTTTTTTTCCTGTAGGACTCTCATTTTGCTAAAAAGCTGAACTTTCTCATCAGGTGAATGTTCTGAACCAGATGGATTTCTGCTCTGGGAAACCTCTCTAGTTAATGATAGACTTTCTGCTTGTCTTCTGTTATCTGGGACAGATGGAGGCTTAAAACAAAAGAAACAGGAAACAGACAAAGAAAAAATACATTAAAAGTTATTATTTCCAATTTAAAAATGCATAAGCTAGGCACCAGTGGCTCTGTAATCCTAGCTACTAAGGAGGCTGAAATCTGAGGATCGTGGTTCAAAGCCAGCCTGGGCAGGAAAGTCGGTGAGACCCTTATCTCCAATAAACCAACAGAAAACCGGAAATGGCACTGTGGCCCAAGTGACAGAGAACTAGACTTGAGCTGAAGAACTGAGGGACAACGCCCAGGCCCAGAGATCAAGCCCCATGACCAACAACAACAACAACAAAAAAAAAAAAAACATAAATTCTATTTGAGAGATGTATTTACCTAGGTCACACTGGTGGATAAGTAGATGCCATTTCTATTCCCAAAGTAAGTTATTATTCCTGCTGTGCCATTATCACATATATGGCTTTATATGCACATAGGTATACTGACCTTGGGTTCATTGGACATAGTTGCTGTCTAAATCTAAATTAAGTACTAACAATGCCATGTTATGTAAAATAAACTTACAAAAATCTCTCTCTTGCTATCTTCTTAGAATCACTCTAAACTTTAACTTCCTTCCCAACCTATCAAACTTCCTCCTCTGTGTTCCTCTTTTTCTTTTGTTTTTATTTTTTTGCCAGTCCTGTGGCTTGAACTCAGGGCCTGAGCACTGTCTTTGAATTTCTCTGACTCAAGGCTAGCACACTACCACTTGAGTCACAGGATCACTTCCAGCTTCTTCTGTGGTACTGAGGAATCGAACTCAGAATTTCATGCATGCTAGGCAAGCATTCTACCACTTAGCCCCATTCCCAGACCTCCTCTTCTTTCCTAAGAAAACTTATGAAGGGTTGTGTGGCTCAAATGGCTCAAGTGGCTCAGGTGGTAGAGCACCAAACTAGCAAACATAAGGTCCTGAGTTCAATCCCCAGGGCAACTAAAAAAAAAGTGGTTTCAGGAAATAACGCCTTCTGGCATGGTACTATGTGCCATAAATTTTTCTATTTGGGAAGATGGAAGGATTGTGATTCAAGGCTAGCCTTCAAGTGGTAGTATATGTTTGTAATACCAGCTACTGGAGAGGCTAGCCTGGGCAAAATTACAAAATATTATCTGAAAAACAAACTAAAAAATGAAAGACTACGGTAGTAAACCAAACTGTATATTTGCAGGCTTTTATTACTCAATCTCAAGTAATGCCAAAAAGAATTACAAAATGGACAATTTCAAGAATACCTTTCTCATATATATTTTTATTTTGGAACATCTCTGTGTGTACTGATAAAAAATAAAGTAAGCAACAGCTTCTTAAACTTTTCACTCATTAGCTAATTATTGGAATTGCTATATAGGCTTTCACTCTGTATTCATAGAATTAATTCATTTTACTGTTCACAGTCATTTATTTTGTTTCTGGTGTCTTGCTATTAATATAATGTCATAATATTCTTATACTTCTCTTGTAAACATCTGGGTTTCTTTAGCATAGGCTGTAATGAGTCAATACACAAAAATTATTAAGTATTGCCAAATAACTGTCTAAAATGATTAGTTTCAGTTAGCAAGAAGAAAGAAAACACTACATCTTCAATCAATCTTGTTTTCCAGTGAAAATAAAATCCCATGTTGAGGCAGGACTATCTAGAGTTCAAGGCCTACCTATGCTACAGTTAGACTGTGTCAAAAGGAAAAAAAAAGGTACTTCCTTGAAACTGTTAGTAAAATACAAGGACAAAGACTTAAACCTAATTCAAGTCTTAAAGCTTATGACCATCCAGTCTTCTAGACAAGAATGAATTCTAGGAACAAACAAAAAGAATATTTCAAAATACAGTCCCTGTAAAAACAGCAATGGAATCATATGAAGGGTGGGAGGCCACTCAAATACTATGAATCATGATTTTGAAAGTAAAAAGATACCATGAAATTAATTTTTTAACAATTGTGCCAAGAGAGTAACTATTATGATAAAATTATAAACTCTTATCAAACCAAAAAATTAAGTTACCTGAGAATCACGAAGCTGATTATGAAAATGCTGAATTAAATCATTCAATTCTTCATTTAGTTCAGATGTGATACTGACTCCAGATAAGCTACCTGAAGTTTCTGTAGCAACTGGAAAGAAAATGAACAAGTACTGGTTAATGTAAGTCAACTTTTAGGACATGGACATAAATTTTGAGAAAAAATAAAAAGCAAACTAATAATTATAAACCAGCTTATGCTCTCATTTGTCAATAAATCATTTTATTAGAAGTTTCTATTTAACCAAAAAAAAAAGATAAATGCAAACTCTTTTAGAGTAGTTCTTTTTCTGTTTCAACATACAAGGAGAGATGGGTCTTTTTCTGTTTCAGCATACAAAGAGAGATGATATATTACACTCCGATTAACAATAGTGACTCAATGATGAAGAGTGGTATAGCATGTCTATCAGTTCTTTGGAGGGAATAATGGGTAAAATGTATATTGAAAAACTACAGATGTCCTCACATGTCTCAATCTCCAACTACTCCAATAAAACTAATGCTGTATTACATGAGCTGGTAATCTTTTGTAAAGGTTAAAATAGCAAATGTATTTGATTTTCTAAGAAATACTGGCTTTTTTTTGACTACTCATAGGGCAAAAGCATTGTAACCATTGATAAGCATGAACACTGGCTATATTCCATATAATGTTCTAAAAGCAAGCCAAATTCCACTAGTCATAAGCCTACAAAAATAGGTATTTCATTGTACTTGGCTGTGAAGTAAATCATACAAAAAGACCCTGGATTTTGTCTTCTTCTAAAAAAGCACTTTCCTGATGACAATTCTAACAGTTACTACTATACTATTCAACTACCTCAGGCGCCCTTTTACCACTCTAAACTTTCTAGCTGTAAAACTTTCTAGCTGTAGCTGGGCGCTGGTGGCTCACGCCTGTAATCCTAGCTACTCAGGAGGCTGAGATCTGAGGATCGCGGTTCAAAGCCAGCCCGGGCAGGAAAGACCATGAGA